ATAAAGATTTATCCTGAAGACACTTTCATCTGTTTATATAAGAGTTAGACTTGAGTTTGATGCCTGTTGATGAAATGTAGATTACATTCCAAATATCAAAATCTGGCTTAAAGCTATTCATTTATCAATTCCTTTGTATGAGGACCATCTGACATTGACAGCTGATATTACTGATAACAGGCTTTACACTTCAGAAAAACTGCTGCTTTACATGTACAGCCTGCAGCTAATTGCAACTGCTTAGTTGACTGTTGTAACTATTTGGTTTAAGCCCATTTGGTGAAGACAAATCTTGACTGATCCTTCATATTTAGAAAACATCTTGAAGTAACTGGACAAAAATTGAAAACAAGGAACAACTTGATTAGGAAAATTGCAGGAACAGGGTGGGGAGCACAAGCATAAACACTGCGAACAATGGTACAATCATTAGTTTACTCTGTCGCTGAATACTGCACACTTGTTGTCATACCAACAAGATTGAAGTTTATCTTAATGATATAATGAGAATAACATCTTGAACCCTCAAATCTACACCACTATCCTGGTTCCATGTTCTTTCTAACATTGCCCCCCCCCCTTATCTCAGTCAACAACAGACAGTTCAAGAGTGGAATAAGATAAATAGTCCATGTACTCTTAGAGATCTACCAGTACATAAAATATTAGATTCTCTATCTTGTACCAGGCTTAAGTGTAGGAAACCAATTTGGAATAACATACCGCAGTCTTACAATATAGATGAAGAATGGCGATCAAAATGGATGACTCTTAATTATTATTATTTATTTATTATTATTATTATTATTAAATTAAATTTATATCCCGCCCTTCTCCTTGCGGACTCAGGGCGGCTGACAATCGATTAAAAAATACACAAATAACAATTACAGGATTAAAATTAATTAAAAGGAAATAACTATAACCAAACTGATTACATAGATCCAATAAAACCACTTCCAGGAATGCAGCTGCCCTGGAAAAGATGGAGCCATCCGAATAGAATCAGGACAGGCCATGTCAGAATTAGGACAAAGTTCTTTAAATGGGGAATGGCCAAAATCCTGCAATGTGAGTGTGGTGCATTGGAACAAATGATAATACACATAGTTCGAGAAAGTCTCTTCAGGAAGTTTCAAGGCACCTGGGATGATCTCATCACAGCAACAGTAGAAGCAGTTAGATGGGTTACTTCCTTAGATATTGAACTATAGGATCTATCCTATTGCGATTCTGTGGTGCCATATGATAGCGATTTTATCATGGTTTTATCCTAATTCAATATTTTATTTATCTACGTATTGTTCACACACTTTACCTACATGTATTTGCTGATGCTTTATTCAAATATTTGTGTTTGTATGTATAATGTGGTTTATTAGTGTTGTATATCAGTGATTGCATGACCTCTGTGGATGCCATACGCTAAATAAATAATGAAGAGAAATTAGTCATTTTCAGAAAATACAGTCTTGTTAGATTATTAAACTACCATGAAATAATGACACAATTTCTCGACTATTTCTGTAGTCGAGCATGTTACATTTTTATGAATTCAAAATTTTCAAACATAACATTTTACTTAGATATTTCTGAAAGTTTTAAAAGGGATTTGAGATAATAATGTCATGTATTTATTATATCTAGACCTACAACTCTTGATGCCTTCGTATTTGGTTTTCTTGCACCTCTTTATAAAGCACCATTCCTTAAAGTCCAGTTACAAGAGCATCTTAAGCAGCTTCCCAACTTATGTCGCTTCTGTGATGATATTCTGAGTTGCTACTTTAGACGAAACCTCTCAGGTAAATGATACACTTGTCCCTACACATATACATCTTGAAATCTACAAATGCTTGTTTGCACTAAGTCTATACTGGAAATAAATTCTTCACCAGAAACCTTGGAATCTGCCTTATAAATTTGCAAAAGCTTTAAAAATGGTAAAGGTTTAGAACTCTATTAGCATACATTATATGATTCTTTCTCTGTGAAAATTCTTGAAATGTTTTGCAAAGAGCTTGGTTGCTTCTAACTTTGTCTTCTCTCTATTTAGGGACTTCTCCGGAGGGACAAGATACAGTTGATGCAAATCTCCAGAAACTTACACAGCTTGTGAACAAGGAATCTAATTTGATTGAAAAGGTTCTTGTTCATTCTGATTTTCTAACTGATAGATAGGGATCAGATAGTACATTTGGTTTTAATCAGCTAGAAAGAGAATGAGAACCAGTACTAGAAAAGACTACTCAAGGAGAGCAGAATCCATCTCAGGTTTTGGGATGCTTCCTACCGCAGTTGGTTTCAGTTGGTTTTATGTTATTCAAACTCTGATGCCTGTAGTGTAGTTGCAGAAAACCATATGAGATGATAGGCTGTGGGAGGAAAAAACAAGAATGGTTCTTCATTTATCATCTTTATCAAACTCGATCGCGTCACGTGACATATTGTAGTGTATTGCAACTTTTTTTGCCTTTGCGGAGCTGGGGTGGGTGTGGTCTGCATGTGATGCATCCAGCTCGCGGGCCACCAGTTTGACACCCCTGTTCTTTATGTTGCTTTTTCTTTTAATAGTGTCTCATTCTCTATCTTTAGCCCATTTTTCTGCCTTACTGTGGCAGTTCTATTGCACAAATATATGAAACTACCATTGTTCTGGATAACTGAACCCTAAATTATTGTATATCAATAATGTAGGTTTTGAAATGACTGTTTGATAATATTCAGTATTACATTATGTACAAATATTGTTCTTTATTGGTTGATTATGTTTAAAAAATCAGCATTGGCACTTGATTTAAAAAAGAGGGAGTAAGCAGTACTTGAATTGATTGTATTTTCTTCCATAGTAAGTAAATACATAAGTTGGGTACAGTATGGACAATTCACATAAAACCACCATAAAATTCTTGAATATATAAAAATATGTAAGCCACTTAAAGGAGCAGGCAGATTTGTTGTACTCTTTGGGTGGGTTTTATTTAATTAGCACTTAGAATTTCTACTTAACAAATAATAACTGATGTTTATTTGATAAAGGAAAGAAAAAAGTCATCTGAACATTAAGGAAGATATCAGATAGGCTTTATGTATATTTCTATACACAAATGCAATATGGGAAAATGTAGCCAATAATTTAAGCAGTTCCAGAGTCAGAAGGATAGATGTGATTAAAAGGAATATTATTAAATCTAACAAAGCAGATGGCCAGGCATTAGAACATGCCATTGAAAATGCTTTTCAGTATTTGGGGATAGTAAAATTATAAAAGTCTGTGATTTAGCCTCCAACATTTGAAACATTTGAATATGTTTAAATTATTTTGATGTTCTACAAAGGACTCATTACCTCTTTCATAGACAATTGATAGTAGGAATTCTGGCAAAAGGCATGAAAACAGATTCCCTAAAGAGACCGTCATCCAACTCAACTAAAAATTAACAGTAAATACTAAAAGAACTAGCTGAACTATGAGAAATTTTAATCAGTAATTAAACTTGGATGCATAAACTGTCTTTAACTGTCCTCAGCAATATCATTTTAAGTATAGCTTTTATGAATTTATACACATTTACTGTATATAGTCATTACCTAGCAACTCTGAATGGTTCAGAATAAAAATATCCAAGATAATTTAAGGACATGAAGGTCTATGTCTTTTCAGGCAAAATTAATATATTAATATGAAAATACAACGTTTTGGTGCTAATATACAAGCTTTGTTCCTATGAACTGCTTAATGATTTTTTTTATACCAAAGATGGACACTACTAGCTAATCAAGCCATGAATCAACAAGACTAACTGCCATGCTTATGACATAGTGACTAAACATAGGCCAAACTGCAGTAATTACCTTCACTCCAGAGAAGCCAGTTTTTTTAACTGAAGTCACTGACCGGCAAAGTTAAAAAAAGCTTTCAGAAGCAATGACCAGATATATCAAAGTCAATATTACTATCGTATAAAACTATATAAAATTAAGACTTAAAATCAGTGAAGGAAGAAATTGAATAAATTATAATAAAACAATATAAAACACAAGAGAAATGCAATACTTATTGCAAAGTCGCTTGATAGTAAGAAGGCAGCATATAAACTTAATACATAATATAAAAGACTTCATGATGTCATCGCTCCAAGGATGTATGACTTCTTATGGAAATAATTGAAAATAGTAACTTAGCCATCATATTGGTGATGGTATGGTTCCAATCTGCTGATAGAAAATGGATTACCTCTCCCTCATACAAGATTGCAGTTTTGTTATGGCATGGTGAAGATATGTCTGCACATAATTTAGTATAGTGTAGTGAAAAACAGAGAGCCAGTTTGGTATAATTAAGGTGCTGGCCTGGAAACCAGAAGACTAAGATTTCTAGTTTTCCCTTAAGGATAAGAGCCAGCTGAGTAACTGGGCCAGTCATTTTCTGTCAGCCCAACCCAGGTCATAGAGATATTGTTGTACAGAAAATAGGCAAGATTGATTATTAGATGTGTTTGCTGACTTCAGTTATATAGCTGGTCCTCAGTTTATGATTGCAATTGGTACTGGAATTGATATTGCTAAATAATACAGTTGTGAAGTGTGGCATCATGTGACCTCATTGCTTGGCGGCAGCAGTTCTGGTGGTCCAGGTTGCTTTTGTTAAGCAAGAACCATGTGGGCCTTTAAGCAAGGTCCTTCCAACTTCCTGTTAGCTTTCCCATTGACTTTGCTTGAGGGAAGCTGGCATGGAACATTGGAAATCTTGATCATATGTCCACCATTTGTAATTGCAAGCTGAGCACCAAATTAATATATGACTGTGGGGATGCTGTTATGGCCAGAATTCCAAGTACCCATTGTAAGTCCTCATTCACTGCCATCATAAATTCAGGGGTGTCAAACTCGCAATGTCATGTGACATGTCGCAATATATTGTGACTTTTTTCCCATTGCCGGCAATGGGGTGGGCACGGTTTCACTATGATGCATCCGGCCCTTGGGCCGGCAGTTTGACATCCCTGATAAATTGAACAACTGGTATTAACATGAGGATTACTTGTACATGCATAATTAAAAAGGTGTGATCAAAATATAATAATAATAATATTACAGTAATAATAGGGTTTCAAGTTCATTCCAACTACAACATCTTTCATTGAACGGATCTTACTGTACTTTCCATCTAGTATTCCTGGGGTAAAGTGCTGAAATGAGCCAAAGATGAGGCTCTAAAGTGTGCTAATCAAACAAGGTTGAATAAGTAGTTTGTAGATACAAAAGGTTTCAATTTGAAACTCACAGCTGAACCTTGAGTATAGCATCCATCTGCCTGTCATATGACTGACAGATTTTAGCTTTAGCTGTCTCTTAAACTAGAGGAAGCACAAATTAGATAGATAAGCCTCAGTCAGTTCAACTAAGATGCTTTTCTTTTCACCTTGATGCTGTCCACCTGAAATCTATTTTCTTTAAATTTGTTGTTTTTTATCCTGTTTTCTAAACAACTGAACATTTTTGCCCCATTTTCAACGTGAAAGCCCTTCAGATACTTGAAGATAATTATCACATTTCCCTACAGCTTTCTCCAGGCAAAACATGTAGAAATCCTATAATTATTCCTCCTACATTTTTCCTTCCAGGCCCCTTATCAGCTTGGTTGCATTCCTCTGTACATCCTCAAGTTTATCAATGCCATTCCTAAAATGCAGTACCAATAAAGGAAAAGATAAAGGAGAAAATGCAGTACCTGGAAAGAACTCAACACAGTGTTCTAGGTGCAGTAGGAAAAATGAACTCAGGTGATTAGGGTTAAATTTCCTTTTGGGCATTTAGATCACCCCATATAATTCTATACACAGGCGGCTATAATTTAATACTAGGAAATTAGCAATATACTCTATATCTCCACAAATGTTTGATCTCTGCATATATAAATTAATGAGCATTTATTGAAGTGTTTAAGCTTCAGTAGCATTGTGAGCGTGAAATGGTATCTTAAGAACATGAACTTGAAATTAACAGCCCTAAACTACCCCTGGAATTCATTAGGGGAGTATAATTCAAATATGACACCTAAGTACCCGTATGTTTTCTCAAGTATTTAAGTAAATAATAAAAGAATGATAAGTAAATCACTCAGTAATATTCCATGTGATAAAGAAGTGGTTCCATAAATACAATGACTATCAGTCAAAATTATTAGAAGCAGTTATTTCCTAACAGAAGTTGTTAGATTATAATGGAAATTAAAGTGTTAATAGAGAGAGAGACACTTGCTCAGTCTTGGTTTCATTCTGGTTATTTATTCCAATCAAGTGATGTATTTTCCCTAAAGAGTCTTAGAACAGCTGAGATAGATAATCAGAAAGAGCAACAGAGAGCAAAAAGTACTATTATTTTAGTAAATTAAGATAAATTAAATTATCTAGCCATTTGATGTCAGTACCCCTCCACCTGTTAATTATCTGTAGTTTGGTTTTGTGGGGAGGAAGTTGGCAACTAACATAGAGCAGTCAACCTTTGAGTATTTATTTCTCTTTGCAGACACAAATTCTTTTTAAGCATAACTTTAGACAGAAGATTTGTACTTTCCTGTTTGGCAGAAGCCAGAATACTGTTTGCTTTATGTAACAGTAGATATTCGGTGGTTTGTAGAATCAGTGGAGGAACAAACTTTTTAAACGATTGGGCAGTGCTCAAAATCGCTGTCTGACTCTAATTTTCTTGTTAAATAAATATTTAACAAGCTCATTTCCTGTTTTGTTATTGGCAGGTATTTTAACTTTATTAGTAGTACTTTTTGCTCTCCATTGTTTGATCTTAGGAAAATAGTGGTAATTAACTCTGAATGGTCAAGAATATTATGTCTCATTTTTCCACTTCTAAACTGCTTTCTTATCTGATGGGAAGCTGCATGGTTTTACACTTAACTCCCTCTGAAGGTGAAAAGAAATTTGTACAGATAAATTGGAAAGCATAATTCAGGTGATGATATTATAAAATGAAGCATGCAACAATGTTTGGTCAGGTCAACTGAATTAATCGGGCACACATGGTGAAAAAGAGGGATGAATTACAGAGAATTGGATAGGAAATGCTTTAAAGTGTATCTTATACATAGATAAAATAATCTTTAAAGGACCACATCTCTGTTTCTTTTAATGGATAAATAAGAAGCAACATACTTACTAATTGGAGTTAAGCTGTTGAAGTATAAAAAATATGCATGGCATTAATAAGGTAATTCATTAAACTCATTAGTTAATCTGTTGTTCTTGAATTCAAGAAAATTGCACTATTACGTGTATAATTACTTTTTAAAATAAATGATTGAACATTGCAATGTGAACAATATTGAAAGTAATTTTATTCAACTATCCAAATTGGCCTTTATGTTGCTTTTGCAGATGGATGATAATCTTCGCAAGAGCCCTCAGCATCCTCCTCGTAAGCTGACAACTGTCAAACTTTCTACAGCCGAGGAAGGAAATAATTCACTGAATCGATTGTCACCCTTATAGTTTTTAATTTCATTTTTATATATGCGTTCTGAGAAACTGTTCATCTGTAATCAATTTTTGCACTAAACTGTGTCTTTATGAATCTGTGGCAAAAGATAACTTGACATGGGTGCAGGCCCATTCATTTAATCAATTTATTCTATGGTCATGTTAAAAATACTACACCTAAGTTAACATAGGAAAGATCACTAGGTAATTGTAAAATATGCTGTTTAATGTCACCTTTAATGCTGCATAATGCTTGCCTGTTCAGGTCAATATGTCTTTTGACCAAAAGCTAGGATTTTATTTTTGGGGAATTCACTAGATCAGTGTTTCTCAACCTTGACAATTTTAAGGCATGTGGACTTCAACTCCCAGAATTCCACAGCCAGCATTGCTGGCTGTGGAATTCTGGGAGTTGAAGTCCACATGCCTTAAAATTGTCAAGGTTGAGAAACACTGCACTAGATTAAGATTTCAGTTTTGATTGCAATCATGTTAAACCTCAACTTGTTGTATATCAGAATAGGTACTTGATCCCCACTTTTAGCATTTTTGTAGTTTTCTACAATAGCTCAAATACTGAAGTTAAAATATCAGCCTGTTAACACAGAACAATGAATAGTGAATGGTTTTTGCCACTTTGGAACATTTTGTACAAGCAGTGGTGAATATATGCAATGTATGCTATTTTTAAAAGAATATAGATTATTTTAAAAACTAGTCTTGCTGACATTGGCATCTTGTTTCATATTTAAATGTTTATTCAAATCTAGTTTTACAAAGAACAGGCCTTGGCAAGCTGCCTAAAAGCATATTGCATACAAATTGTAGCCATTATTACTAAGTTCTTTTTTTCCCTACTTTGTTCTCTCTTACTCATTGAAACCCTTTTCATGTTTCTCTGGAATAGGGAAAAACAAGATGAAGTGGAGAGAATGTCCTTAAAACTCCATTTCCGATTTCAACCATAGCAAGTCTAGTATCCATGCAATTGGTTTTTGCTTTAAGGCAATTCATCAACACCAACCTGAATAACCTATCCTTTTCTCTGGGTTAGAATGTTTCAGTTAATGAATTGACAGGATATTGAGGGTGTGCAGTATATTGATCTTTGCAGATGGAGTTCCTGATGAGCATGGACTTTCCCAAGTACTTGAAGCAAGAATGGTAGGTAATGCACCACTCAGAACTGCTGTACATAGAGCTCTGTCTTTAACACTTTCTTGTTATAGTTTATTTATTTTACAGGATCTAAAGGTCTAAAGCACACATGGCACTATAATAAAAACAGCAGCAGAGAGAAATATAATGCCAAAGCAGTGCACATAAAATTCAGTATAGGGATAGAGCTTGGCATTTCCCGAAAGCCTCTAAATCAAGCTCATATCTGTCTAAAATGGTACTGAAAAACATTTCAGCTTAGCAGTTTTGCCACAATTAATATAACAACATTAATAGTCCAAATAAAAAATGGATAGTTGTTAATAGGAGAAACTGGATTGTTTAAAAGTCAGATGGTTAGAGATTGGCTTGCAAAAGGAAGGAATAAAGTAAGTTGTATAAAAAGAAAGGGGATATTGAAATATTTAAGCCTTGAGATCTTTGAATAGTATGGACTTTTGAAAGCACATTTTACAAAGATGTACTATGAACCTTTTTGTACCTGTTTGAGGTATCTCCCTGGGCCCCTATTTTTAACCTAGCTAGTGCCACAAAATAACAGGGCACACTACCGTGGAAATCTGTAAAACACCAATGAAATAAAGTATGGAAGGTTGCATAAATTTGGGGTGTGGTCTAGGCAAGGACTTTCATTGATTCTCAAAATTTAATTCTGAATTAAATCAACAGAATATTTTTCAGAAAAGGACTTAACCAAAATGGCATCTTCCTTTAATCAACTGATATTTTTTTTTACATTTTTCATATGTAAACAAACAACTTTCTTTTTGTTTAACTTTATTTTGCCAAATCAAACAAATTTACTTTTCTCTAAATTACTTAGAGTATTCTGTGAATGTAGAGACATAGTTATCTGAATAAGTTTGTAAATTTTGTATATAAATGTACTTACAGAATATTACTTTATAAAATAAAGAATGTAGCAATCTCTTCATGTATCTTGTATTTATAACAATATTTTGGGATGTCTAACAATAATAAAATTAAACTTTCATGTTATTTCTGTAGGCGTTTCATTTGTTATCTGAATCTGCAGATACCTATGCAAAAAATACCTGTGAAAAGAAGTGTTAACTTTTTTTTCTTGATAACGGTTTTCAAACAAGGTAGGCCTTCTCCCCACCCCCAAGTGTTCATAATACAACTTGACAAAAGCAATCATGTTGCCCATGAAAAATTCCAAAATCCACATAAAAACAAATTGAAATGTACAGCTTCTGATTTTAAGCTCTTTGACATGCCTGTTGCTCTACTAAATTTGATTTTGCTTCTTCTACTAAAAATAATAGATTTGCTATGATTACTCATCAGAAAGAATTTAATGTTTTCCTTATATAACATTTGGAGGTCCCAAAGGTTTTTAAGATTGCATGTGCCCCTGGGGCCTCAGGTTATACACCTCTGCTATATTCACACAGGTTAAGATTTACAAAATAGAGGTTCCTTTCCAGGTTGTGGAAACTCTTCATCTAGGAAAAAAAGAGCAAGTGAATGCTACTAGCTGATCTAAATAGGCCACTGTGCATTTTTTTAAATTAAATTATCAATATTCTAGGTTTCCAGAAAAGTAGCCAAGTGTGCTATAGCAATTCATTTTAGAAGTTGGCTCTGAGAAAAGTTCAGTTCTGAGATGGGGTGCCCGGATCGGCTGCAGCTGCATTGGCTCTTGAAGGTGAAAAGTTTTGGGAGGGATAGTAAGGAATATGGGCCACATGATCAGGAAGGTTTTGATGTGTTTGAGCAACGTGGTGGAACTAAGGTAACATACAACTGACAATCTTTGCTGGCATGGCAAGTTTCAAGCTGTTTCAGAACTGTTGATGAGACCGTTAAAAGTCATTGGCGCTGTTTGAAATTGTTCTGCCAGCAGCAAGATCTGACTGCTGGCCCAGTGATGGATTCTATTGCAAATCAGGGCTGTTTCCAAAGGAGGCAGAGGAGGAGAGGTCCCGAGGCTTATGGAGCGAAGGAACTGGATGAGGCTGTCGGCAGGCCCAGAGGAAGAGAGAGAGGCTTTTGGAGGAGTTGGTGGCAGTGGCAGTGTGCTCCAGGGGCGAAAAGAAGCAAGGCCTCTTTAAGGAAAAGGTGGAAGAGATGATCAGAAAAAGGAAAGGAGGCAAGGTTGTCGTGCAGGAATACAAGCTAATTTGAGGGCTAATCCACATGGAGCTCCGTTTCCATCTGTCCTGTTTGCCATCATTCGCTCCCTAGAGACTAAAATGGATGATCTGAAACTTGAGCTGGCCACGAATAAGGAGTGTATATCGGAGGGGGTGACCCTTTGAGAGCTGTATGCAACGAAATTTCATTTTGATGTATGCCAGTTGGTGTACATTCAAAGTGACAATAAAGCTGTTGTTATTATTAGTATTATTAGTATTATTATTTTTCATTTCTGTCATGAATTTTTTAAGTTGGATGTTTTGTATTATAACTTTTTTGTTGTTACTCTATTGTCATAAAGAAAGAAAGCCATGGAATCAACTATATTGGTACATTTTCTTCAGAGACTAATATCTCTAGCAGTGTGATGGTGGTGGTGGTGATGACAGCAACTATAACTACATTTTCACAATGTAGTTTATTGAGCTTTTTCTCTGTCTTTTAAATAGAATTGTTCAATTCAGATAGTACACTCAATCAAGCTTAGACTCAAACATACGGCTTAGATGATATGCATGTTGTATGAACTCAATGTGGCCTCTATAATTTAATAGGATATGTGAACCAATTTATTTACTGTACCTTGCCTTTTATCTCTCTCATTCTTAGAGATAGTTCTATAGGATGCATTTTGGAATCAGATTGTAAAATCATGACTGATAACCCCAACATTCAGTAATGTAATTATGGTTCTGTAAGCAATTTTCACTTTGTGTTATAATTCTTCCATATCTTACTATTTGCTACTGAGTGATAAGTCTAAAAAGCAGTTTGGGGGAAGTCAAAAATTAATGATATCATTAACTGGATAAGCCTGTACATCTGCTTAAAAATAAATTCCATGCATTTTGGTGGTACTTAATTCTTACAGAATTAGAATTCCATCCTAACAGAAGTTACAATCATTTTTATGGTCAGGTTTTGGGGTTTAAATGTTGAGCAATAGTGAAAATAAATTGCAGTTTTTACAACTGCTCTCTTGCCAGAGGAAAAACTGCTCTCTTGAGAAAAAAAATCCCTGAGGCACACAAAAAAGTTTTTTTTTTAGGGCAATGTTTGCTATTTTCTTATACAAATTAAATTTCCATGTTTAAAAAAGTATATTGTCATGCCCTTTGGCAAACTTTAGAAATCAGAGCTTTTTATTATTATTTTAAATGACACTATTTATAAAAAGCAACACAAATGGTTATCAGTATCTAATTTACAGTTTTCCTGTAAATCATATTTTTTATGCCAGACATGTTTTATTTTGCTATTGTTACATACCCATTAATGTTAACGCTATTCCTCTTCCATTTTTCCAGACCAAGTTCTCTTGTGCTACAACAGCTGGAGAAAATAAAGTATTTATGTCCTGGTTTCATTCAACTGGAAACATAGATGGATGGCAGGGAACATTAGATAGCCAGCTGATATTGTACATACAGTACTGAAAACTGTATCTGGGTCTCTTGTTATATGTGTATGCTGAGCTTAGAGAATGGGAGCTTTAACAAGCCAACTTTTCAGCATTAGTTCTCAAAATGACTAATATCAAAGTATTGCACAAAGAAAGCTTTCTGGATACTGAAATTTTGATAAGCTCTTATTTGCTGGCTCTTGCTCTTTGTTCTGTGAGGGGCAAAATAATTAAGCAACATCCTATGATATTCAATAAATAAAGACCAGAAATGGTCAGGTCTGTTGTGTGGAATCCAAAATGATATCTTTGGGCCATAGAATAATTTCAAGGAAGAAAGGTATGCCCAGACTATAGTGCAGAAGGAAAGGAATAATTCCTGCTTCTAGTGACAATTCCAGAGCACCTTGTTTGGAGAAGCAAAGGGGTATGTTGCCATGCTATAAAGACAGCAAGGATTTGAGTCCCTGTTAAATATTTATGCAAATATGCGTACAAATATTATTTCCATAATTGATGAAGTTGAATACTGTTTTTGCTCC